ACATATTATTGGTTGGGTGATGTGGCCATGGCTTAAAGATGGATATTAATCTGTTAATTAATATATCATAATTAAGCAAAGAGTAACAACATTCAGATTTATTTTTTGTTCTTAGTATTATACTAGAATATGTGGATAGAACATAGACAAAACATTGCAATATTAAATGTGTATTTAATATGATAATTATAACAAATAACAGATGATAGCAGAATGTCAATTTACTACAACAATTCTACGATACAAAACTACAACATATTACTTACAAAAGGCTATAACAGATGCTAGGTGTAACAATGGATTCATATTACTTACAAGGCCCCAGTACTTTGGCTGGGATTGAGTCAGAGCTGGTAAATCTACATAATGGTACAGTCAGAAAGAACAAAGAGACTCAACCCCTCTTACATCGTTTTTTTATTCCCAGTGTATTCCTAGAGTAGGCTGGCCTGTGTCACCAGAAGCCCATGGCTAAAGGAAACCATATAATGGAAATTAATCCTACACACTGCCCCTAGTGGTGCCTCTAAAGCATTAATCTAATTTGGCTTTATATTATGTCATAAATCAATATTTAATATCATTACAGTGGGACATGTTAGGGATTACTAAAGAACTTTGATTTGATTTGTTTGTAGTGATTCAATGTTAATCAATTTAAACTAAAATTATGCTGTGAAGTAACTTGTCCCTTGATAATAGTTTAGACATACTGCCTGTGAAAATGTAAAGAAAACTTAAGCATCTTTTGCACTGTGTAAGGTAGTCCTTTGCATTGACATGGTTTTTGTCTGTAGTAAATATAGTTTAAATACAATGTTCTCTTCTTTTATGCACTATAAATGATATAATGTTTTACACAGATTAATTATAATTTCACCAACAATGAAAATTATACAACTAACCCAAAGTTCAAATTTGATTTGCTGAGACTTCATTTCAGGGTACTAATTGGGCTTGCGCACAATGGAAACATTTTTGGGGGCTGAATCAATTGTGCCATTTTTTTTTTTATAATTTTAGTGATGGCTGCATATCAGACATATGACAGTTAGGCTCAGCCAAAAATGAATTAACTGAACCAAAAGGCCCCAAAACGGTCCAATTAATTAACTGCAAAATATATAAATAACACATGGGTTAGTTTTCACACCATTATGTTTATATATCAAGTGAGAAAAAGTAACAACTAGAGGGAAAAAAGAGGAGCAGTAAATGTACCCTAGTCCTCAATTGCCATTTTCCATCAATCCCAATGGAGGAATTCAGAATCATAAATTAAAACAAACATACTCAGCCATTGCGTGTTTCATTTGTTTTGTGATTTGACTACATTTTGGCTCAGAGTTTGGATGAATTCTACTTCACAACAAAACCAATCTTCAAGTCTAGTACTAATGTTGACTGACTCAACCCATCATTAAGACATTTGAAAACACTTTCAAATGTAAATTTTGTTAATCACTTAAATAGATGTATACAAGTTAAAGGACATGCAATAAGTTTTCCAAATTTAAATTCTTTCATAATTTTAACTGCAAAACTGAAAAGAAAGTTGAAAAGCAAAGGGGCTAAATATAATAAAGTGACCTATTTAGTTTAAATATATCTATGTATATTTTTAATCATAGAGTGGTCCTTTAAAATCTATAAAAAAAATATTGACTACAAGAAATGTTTTATATTGCTAGAAGTAGATATAAAGCTTTACATAAATTGGCAACATATAAAACATAAAAAGACAATGAGCAAACATATGACCAACAATCTGTCATGATTCCCACAACGACACGAACGTCTTGCAGGACTCGGTTTGATGCCTACTCCAACAGTCTATGTTTTTATGGTGGGTTGCCCTTTCTGTGCATGTGGTTGATGACTTTACAGCAAGGCTAGATGATAAAGGAATCATTGCCATCCCTTCACTATAAATACAGAATGTATTCTGTTGTGTCTGTTGTGAATGTTTTATGTACTCTAGTATGTCCCTTCAACTTTTGATAGGTTTTGATAGTGGCGTGACTAGTTTTTTGTTCATCTTCAATTGTGTTCTCCCTGCCCTCTATAGAGATAGTTATTTGAAAACCTCTGGAACATTTGACCTTGACATTTTGGACATTATATCCATCACTGGCTGGTAACATCTGTCCTTTATGTCCACATTCTGTACTTAGCTATCTGTACTTAACTATCCTCTAGTTATTGTAGGCACGCTTAGACTATGCATGTTCGATCATAGGCATTCCTGAATCAATTATGAGCATTCTAGAAAGTCTCTAATTTTTCAAAAATCTAAGTGTTACATTTTTCATTATTATTGAAGATATATGAATCTGTGCACCAGCCATTGAGATGTGCTGACTTTAAATTTAGGTTAAAATAGGTAAATTAGAAAAAATAGTCTACCTAGGGGAGTCAGATATTTTATTCCCACTGTGTTGTTTTGGTCTAATACTATATTTTAGTAAGCTATATTATATTAAGAGGTGAACAAAATGCAAATGATTGAAACAGTTGTGTCAATACAATTACTGATTTTTCTTTTCTTTTGGAGGGGGGACTGTTTTAATGCAATATAATGTTTAAATGACATAGGAGGAAAGGAAAGTAAGAAGAGTTTGATAATCATATATCTAGCTTTATTTGTGTCTTTTTAATGTTGACCCAGTGCTTGTGGATGGTATTATTTGCTTAGCCAATAATATGTACTAAGTAACAGGCTTAAATATAAAGCAATACTAGTAGCAATTTCCACTTTAGAAGTGTGAAGTAATGGAATTTCCTCTGTGTTTTTGCTCTTCTTCCAATTTAAGTGGAGCATCATTGAAACAGAGAAAGAAGGCACAGGAAGATATTCATCTTAATGATACATGTGCTCACAAACTATGATGCATGGACTCAAGGCCAGGAATTACTGATCATACTAGACTAGGATAGGATGAGTTAGGTGACAATCATTGTAAATACATATTTCTGGGTATTTTAGGTGTAGTGCTGAATATATAGGGTGCCTGTGTGCTATATTATTGTAGTTAAAGATAATATAGGCAAAGATTTTATATAATTGATTTTAAGATTATAAATGTTGGGTGCATATATATTTATTAGGTGAATGGTGTGTGCGAACAGAGTTCCCAAGATAATTATGTATCGTCTTTCTGGGTCGGATTCTATCTCTGTGACCCGTATAGGGCATCTTTTATGTATCAAGATCGCTACGCCATTGCGTTTAGAATGTGTCCTAGCTTCATAGCTCGTGTTGTATATGTGGTCTCTGAGGGGCAGCCCTAAAGTCTTGGGTAAATGGGTCTCTTGTAGAAAGGCGATATCTGGGCTCAGCCTTTTAGGTTCTCTGAATAATAGTCTACGCTTTTTGGTGGCGTTTAGCCCCTTGACATTTAGTGAGATGATGCGAATAGGCATGGTGGTGTATTGAGAGGGTGCGATTGAGACAACTTACGAGGTCGTGTCTCTGCTCCTGTCTTACTGGTAGGCCCTACACTCATCCACCAGGGGGTTACCTCCATCCTCACCTGAATGGTCTTCAGGTGTAGGTTTCTCCGATCTCCGTGAGGGGGGGAGGGAAGGAAGGCAAAACAGAAAAAGTTAAACAGAATATAGAAAGTAAAACAAAATGACCGTCTGGTCTTACTGTTTGCCAGACTTGTGTGGAGTGCATCGCCCACCAATTGTGGGTTTGGCACGCAGAGGCATGGACCCACATCTGAACGTACTTGACCCTAGGCCCACTCCGTGAATGTGTATGAGCACTCCTGTGTGGTTCCCCATGAAGGCCTTCTATGCTGTGGTTCAGGTTTGACCACCATTCATAACTTCCGTAGTGACTCAGAGTGTGCTAAGTTGTGTCCCTTGGTTATCAGTCCCCTTCCTGGCCATGTCCCCAGCCCCCTGTGGTATCCCTCGGGGGGGGGGGGTCGTCTAGACCGTTGTAGTGTGCATCAATACTTCCTGAGGTGCAACCGATGTGGTGTCCTCTCTATGTGTCTGTCTGTTCCAATCCCCCGGAGGATCGCTGGGTGAGGAGGGGAGGTATGGCGTCCCATAGTGTGTTTGGGGCATGGGTGGTGCCTGTGTTGTTTGGCGTCCCTATTGTGTGGTGTCCCTGTTGTGTGGCATCCCTGGAGTGGTAACAACCTCTTTCTGTGGAATCATAACCATTTCTCGATTTGTAAACGTACAACAACATTAAAATCTTTACTACTAAAATGTGTGCTCTGTTATGTTCAGGCTCGCCGTGGTTTCCGCCCTATCCGTGCCGTGTAGCCCGGCCAGGGTGGGAAGCCTTTTCCTGCAGCGTAATGATAGTATGTATTCTTTCACATCTTGTATGGTTGCTAGGTTATCAGCTACTTCGCTACTTTTTTTTTGAAGTGCAAAACCTGTCATCTTCCTCTGCGTGGCTATACTTCAAGACATATTTGTGAGAGGTGTCCCTAAATTTCATGGAGTTTACAAAGCAGCCAAGTCCATGTTAGTTGAAGGTCTCTGAGTCATGGAGTTATGGTTGTTGCCTTTATTCGCTCGCTGAATACCATGGGAAGGGGCTTCAGTTCTCTTGAATTCGCCATCTGCCACTGGAGGTCTGTCGGAGCTGTGATGTCTAGCGCCTGGAGGAAAGCTGTGGTGTCTCCATCCGGCAGTAGCATCCTTGGGGCTGCCGTTCTTGAATTCCATTAGTTTAAAGGGGTGACCCCAGGCATATTTGATGTTGTGTTGCCTTAAGATATCTGTGACCGGATGCCATTCCCTTCTCCTCTGGAGTGTTACAGGGGAGAGATCCTGGAATAGGGATATTGTTGTGCCTCTGTATGTGATGGGGTCCTCTCTGCTGTGTTTCATTATTGCTTCCTTTGTTTTGTAGTGTTGGAAGCACATGATAATGTTGCGTGGTTGTTTTGCCTCTGAGTTGCGCGTGCTGAGGGCCCTATGTACCCTGTCCATGAGCCAGTAATGATCTGGGACGTCTGGTGCAAGGGGTCTTAGTATGGCGATGACGTGTCTGCCAGGTTGCCTTCCCCCTCCCGTTCCAGGAGGCCCCTTAGCCTGATGTTATTTCGGCGGGAGCTGTTGGCTAGATCCTCTAGGGTGACCTCTGCTGTAGCTAATCTTGTGATGAGGCTGTTCACATGTTTAATTACCTCGTTATAAGCTATTGCGGCCATCTCTTGTCTCTGCTCCAGGGTAGTCATGCGATGACCCACTGCCGTGGATTTCGGGCTGTGGTGGCCGCCATCTTGGTGGTCTGGCTGGGTCTGGCGGGAGTCCGCGAACATGTCAGCCACGGAGGTTCCCGCGTCCGCCGTTTTTTGGGGGGGCTTTTTTGCTTGCCTTTTATCCATGCTTGGGTATGGCGGGTGCTTTTGGGTGGTTTCTTGCTCTATTTGTTTCTGTGGGTCTTTTTTTCGGCGGGAGCTTAGCTCACATGCGTCCCTTCAGGCTAGCGGTCTGGCCACACCCCCAGTTTAACGTTTTTTAATCCATTAAATAATCCAATTTTGTGCTAGTAAATTATATTGTCTTTCTTGCTGAAAAACAAGAGCAGACCTTGGTATGTAAGTTTTGTTATAAAAATACACTTGTGAACTTTCATTGTATTGTCATAAATTTATTTTTATAAGACAAAGGCCACTAAATTAGATTCAACCATGATTGGGAATAGATGATAAAAGTGAGTACACAGCCCTTGGCAAACAAACTATGGCTCTCCTCCAGTAGAGATCGACCTGCCGTTTGTTCTGTGTCCTTGCTCTATTTAGGGGAACCAATATTCTAGCTGCAAATGTGTCTTATAGTGATGACCCTTGAGAATTGAATACAATGAAAATGCAAACCAATGATGGTTGGAGGTCACTAAAGTGTTTATAATATGTCTAAAGTAAATCACTTGGTCTTGTAGATACACATTTATTGGATCTGTGCATCTCTATGACAAGCAGAAGATGAATACATTGCAGACCGCAATCACATTTAGAAAAATCTTTTTAAGAACCAGGATTTATAACTTTCAAATAGGATCGCTTTGAAAATTAAACAGGAAAGTACATTAAAAAAAAACTCTTAAAATACATTAAAAAAAAAAAGTGCAGTTTTTTTTTTATATGGGATAAACATGCTAGATATTTTAATTAGTTATTGCTTGGGGATCATTCCTGTTTTGCTGTATTATTAATTTGTAATGCTTATTTGTCTGATATGTTTTAGTTTAACACATTTTATTCAAAGATGATCACAGTTAAGTACTTCAAACATTAAATAAGCATAGCACTTTAAAAAATAAAATACAATATCGTTAGTGATAAGATGTGCATCTTGATTTTCCAGCACTGATGATGAATAATACTTTATTCATTTAATTTAAAACCCTATTTAAATAAATCATAATTCTGAGTTCACATAAAGTTTATCAACTTACATTTTAGCTAGTCTTAAGCAGAGAAAATAAATATTTATTTTGCAGAAGACGCTCAATTGCAGCACACAATCGAAAATGAAAAATGAAAGCTTCTAATTAACAGCACCTAGAACATTTTCCTGACAAGAAACTACTTTTAATTCCAATTTTATGTTAAATACTATGATAGTGGGTTGTTTTCTGAACAAAACAAACATTAATTTCTCTTTCAGCTTCTCAGGTCAAAAGTTAAGAGCAGTTAAGGAGGCACATTTCAAATGGAACATCACAGGTCAATTTGCTAAAGGAAGGAAAAAATAACTGGCATGTCTCATGAAATGATTTTTACTTGAAAGTGCACAGAACATTGTGCTATTGTAATTTGCATGCCTCGCAAATTAACTAAAAACTTTCAGTTTGTTTTATCCCCATTATTTAGAGAGTGAATGACCCTGTGAGCAATTCTTGCAGAAATGATGGTGTTGTCATTAATGGTAAATTTTCAGGCTGAACAAAAGTGGTAATTGGTGTCCATCAGGGTTCTGTTTTGGGACCGCTTCTAATTAACATATTTATAAATGATCTTGAAATAGCCATTGAAAGCCACGTATCAGTGTTTGCAGATGACACATAACTTTGTAAAGTAATAAAATGTGAGCAGGATATTGGTTTGCTGCAGAGGGATTTGGATAGATTGGGGGACTGGGCACTAAAATAGCAGATGAAATTTAAAGTAGAAAAAATGCAAAGTTATGCACTTCAGGGTTGAGAATGCACAAGAAATTTACGCCCTAAATGGTAGTGAACTAGGGATAACCACACACAAGAAGGATTTGGGAGTTGTTAGACACAACAAATTAGGCAACAATATGCAATGTCAATCTGCAGTTGCTAAGGCCAGTAAGATTTTGTCATGTATAAATAGGGGCATACATTCTCGGGATGAAAATATAATTTTGCCTCTTTATAAATCGCTGGTAAGACCACACCTTGAATATGCTGTGCAATTTTGGGCACCTGTTCTAAAGAAAGATATCATTGCACTAGAAAAAGTCCAAAGACGAGCTACAAAATCGATAAAAGGAATGGAGCATTTTGGTTATGAAGAAAGGTTTAAAAAATTAAATCTGTTTAGTTTGGAAAAATGGCGCCTGAGAGGGGATATGATAACATTATACAAATATATTCGGGGCCAGTACAAACCTTTATCTGGAAATCTATTCATAAACAGGGCTATACATAGGACACAAGGTCACACATTTAGGCTGGAAGAAAGGAGATTTCATCTAAGGGAAAGAAAAGTTTTTTTTAACAGTAAGAGCAATAAGGATATGGAATTCTCTGCCTGAAGGGGTGGTTTTGTCAGAGATGTTTAAACTGCAATTGGATAAATACTTGCAAAAACATAACATACAGGGATATAATTTCTAATTCATGGGGTAATAGCTGCTTGATCCAAGGAGACATCTCACTGCTATTTTGGTGTCAAGAAGGAATTTTTTCCTAGTTTGTTGCAAAATTGGAAGCACTTCAAACTAGGTTTTTTGCCTTCTTTTGGATCAACAGCGAAAACATATGTGAGGAAGGCTGAACTTGATGGACGCAAGTCTCTTTTCAGCTGTGTAACTATGTAACAGCCACAAACTGCAAAACATTGACATAATGTCCCCATTTATCTAAAAAAAACATTTTTGAGTGGAGTTATGCTTGATTGTATATTTAAGGAATATTTTTGTATTAGCAGAAAAAAAGGAAATATACAAGTACAAAAACTTTATTCATATATTAAAATCCCACTGCGGGATATACAAGTTAGTAGATAAACACCTTTAACATTTACAAGAGGCTTAAAATCTAGAACATAGTAAGAGACTGCAATACCACTGTAACAACAAAGGCTGGTTCATCAAATCACAAAAGTCCAGGTATATATCCAAGATACACCTTACTCAATTCAAGTACATACAACTAAGGTGCCTGCAAAGTCTACCATAATCTCTCTGTATGGCAATAAGGAGTTTACAAATAATAAATACACTAAGCCACATGCTAATTTTTCTTTCATTCCAAGGGTTTTCATGATGATTGCTTACCTCTTAAATCTATGAACATAATTTATTTTTTAGATTATCCTAAATATTTCTTATCACTGCCCATCAACATAAACAAGTAAAATTCTAAATTTGCAACACAGTACGATATTACTGTAGTGAGCAAGAAAAATACACATGTAAACAAGACATGCACAATATAAAAATTTGGTTCAGCTGAAATTTAAGCATTTTAGCTCATCCAAATATTGTCCATAAATGATTGGGGACAACCTATGCAAAACATGAATCACAAATGGTAAAATATTTACATGATATTTTTATACCCTTTTCATGAAGCTAATTTCATTTAAATGTGGTCCACATTTTGGTTAATATTTGCTATGTTGAGCATTTGGTTACTTTTGAGTATTCAGTTGCATATTTTAAGTGTTCTGTTAGGCTGATCCCTGGTTTATTTCTGTAGAATTATATTTTTTTATTTTATTAAGCATCTCTTTTTTTGGGGCCCTAATGATTGAACAATGAATGACAAAACAAATTGACCTATTTGGCCATTGCCTGTACCTTTTTTCGTGGCACATATATATGGCCCTAATCAGTCAAAATTCAGACTAATTGCAGTTTGTTTGAAACTGAATGCTCAACTTTAATATGAACCTATGTTTTCATATAAAATCAATTCAACAGGAAAGTAGGGACACTGTAGGCACCTAAACCATTTCAGCTCATTGAAGTGGTCTGGGTGCGCTGTTCCAGATCCCCTAACACTGCAAAGGTTATTATTGCAGTTTTTAATAAACTACAATAATTTCCTTTATGGGTTACCTCCACCTCTAGTGGCTGTCTACCAGACTGCCACTAGAGGGACTTGGGCTGTTAGGTCACCTAACTTTTGGTCACCTAACTGATGCTGGACGACCTCAAACTATACCCGAATTCCCATAGGAAAGGGAGCGTAGCCATTGCCATGCATGAGCATTAGGTCTCCCTTGCCGGCTGATGACGGCAGGGGAGGAGCTAAGGTGCTTCAAAGCCAGCGCAAAGGGACATTGATGCTTGACTGAGGTAAGCAACAGAAGGTTTTTTTTAGCCCATTCTGCACCACCGTGGGGAGGGAGGGTGTGTGAGGGAGGGTGGAGCTATAGTTCCAGAAAACAAGATTGTTTTCCTTGCACTATAGTTTCCCTTTAACCCCTTAAAGACCAAACTTCTGGAATAAAAGGGAATCATGACATGTCACACATGCTATGTGTCCTTAAGGGGTTAATAATACAACTACAAGTGAGCAGGACAAATACAAAGTAAAATGTTTATGGCGTGGCAAGCTAGCAGGCTTTTTAAAAAAACCAAACAAAAAAAAAAACACTGCTGTAAGTCTCCCTTAGCATGTTTACATACTGAAAGATTTATCAATGGAAAAAGCAAAGGTCAACAAAATATCAGGTCTTTTTAAAATTGATCTATGTGCATTTACCTTGGCGTCCTATAGTTTTAACACCTAATCTTTGTTTTCTGTTACAAAACTTTAAAAGCTACATAAATTATTTGCTGCACGTTTAAAAGGTTAAACGTATACATCATTTTTCAGATATTATTTTTTTTTTAGCAGTGATGTCACACGTCATTTCTGTAAATAACACAAAACAATTATTGCTACACTCCACTGCCCAAATGCAAAATAAATAAATATTGCTGCTTTGTAGATATACCCCCAATGTAAACATGCATGCATTTACTTATGCGTTTGTTCACTGTCAGTATAACTATAAACAGCTTGTAAAAACTACAGTTCTCCTTTCTGCTGCCCTTTCAAGCTTACACTTTTTAA